TATGTACAAAGATAAAAAAGGGACGCCTGGCAGATGTGAAACCTCGAAATTATATTTTGTTCAAGTTATATGCATAAAAGAACAGATTACGACGGGAATTAGATAGTTATAATAAGAAGATAAAGCTTTGCTAATTTTTTACCATAAAATGATGACTATTTATTATAATTATGATTATTCATTTTCAATTCATAATAAACCGTACAAATGATATTTTTAAACTCATATATCACTATAAATTAGCCGATAGCTTATTTGTGCCATCTAGCGTAATCTTTCAGAGCGAATTTCACGAATTTCAGCGAGAATCAACCAATTTTCGTTTGATAAAATGACTTTACGTATAGAATTAAGTAGATGGCGCCATTAAAATTTTATATACTGAAAAGTAGACAGAGAAACCTAACTGGAAATAACTAAAGGGAGTACTATTCTTTAAAAACCTCAATGCATTCTTCTGTATTCTTTTGATTTATTTAATTAAAATTTGGGCTTCACATTAAAAAAGATTGTAACACTTATTTCATCTAAAATTAAACCTAGGTCTCATACTTTATGCTGCTGTTCAAATTGATATTTTTAATTCGTATGGTAATATTAATATTGAGTTATTAAACCTTTAAATACGCCTAACTTAATTAAACTTTAATACTAAAGAGTCCTGTACCTATATTTAAAGTATGAAGAAATGTTTATTGAATATTAAATTTCATTTTTAAAGATTTTTACCTTTTCTTCGCCGATTAGCACTTCAACACGCTTATATTCATCACAATGAACACTATTATCCTCCCATTTTCACTGAAAATCTTCGAAAAAGCATAAATTTTTAACAAACACAACAAAAACAAACATAAACATTGAAATGTGAAGTGAACTTGCATACGAGGGGCCCGCAACCACTTCGCTAGTCGCTAATGCACTCCTAAACAACTTCATGGCAAAGCCAGGCTTGTTGACTCAATAGTAATTGCTATATAAACATTTTGTAGTTATATTTCATTATAGAATATTTTGCCATAGGTTAGAAAGAGAGCGATCGTCTTCTCGAAAGCCCCGTACAAAGCCCACGCGAGCGAGGGAGACAACGAATCGCTCTATTAAAATTCACTTTATGACAGCAGCAAAATCGCCACAGAGTACCTTTGTATAAACGTATCGCTAAGGTAATACGAGGTCATCGGTCGACATGTATCGAACAGTGGAGTGCGCAGAAAAATTGAAATAATTTGAAACAATTTATGAGTTATTTTATTAGTTGATATTATTGATTGATTCAGTTTTAATAAGGCAAATCCGGCTTTTCGGCTTTTACGGAAGCTTCGCCACTGAATGTCAGTGTTTTATAGCACATATAGTCTGCTTTCTGAAGTTGGAATTCATCACTCTAAATCTGGAGTCAATCCGGGAAGACATGTCTCAAGTGTCGATGAAGACATTATCGCAACTTTCGATGCAGATCCTACTATGAGCGTCAGAGCAGTATCTCAAAATCTCATCATTTCGTTATGGAAGGTGTGCAATACGATGCACCGAGAAAACAATTATCCTTTTCACGGCACTGGTATACAAGCTATGGAAAAGGAAGATCCCCCCACGAAGGATTCAGTTCTGTCGCTTTTTGCTAAATAGTGACATTGAGGATGAATGGTTTTTAAAATTCATCTTGTGAACCGAAGTCAAAATTTTCGAAAGAAGGAATCACCAACTTTCATAACCACCCTTTGAGGACGGGCCAATCCCTTGGCCACCACGAACGAAAGGCGAGCCCACGCTTTTGTCAAAAATCACAGTCAACATTATGAACACGAAAAATAAATTATTTTAACAAAAAAAAATTATTTTATTGCTCTATTAAAAATTAAAAATATTCATCCGCAATTTGCTTTGAGAGTAAGGACAACAAAGTAACTAAGCATGATTTTAAAAAGGTTTGAACAACAAAAGCTATTTTTTTTATGATGGCAAACACACATTTCCTTAGTTCTTTTTTATTTCTTTAACTTAAATGTGCGTAGAATGTTTTTCTGATGATAAAGATGCTTGGAAGTTATTTTGTTTGAGTAATTACATAAATAAAAAACAATAACATAACAACTGTTACTGAACACATTTAGCAATTAATTGAAAAAAAAAATTATTGTTAAAAACCTTAGAAATTCAATTTCAAAAAAAGGAGCGGACTTCGTCCGGGACAAGGGCTTCCGTCTAGCTTTGCTCTTTTACATTCCCAGCCATTAGAGGGGGCGCTCTCCTCCGTGCATAAATACGTTCGAGATCGCAGGTGAAGGTGCTCTACTTCATTAAATATATAACTTATTAATTTTTTTCCCAAAAATATTCATTTTACTTTTGTCGTGGTAGTATAATTTTTTACCCTTTTATATATCATAAATGTCGTTTTTAGTAATGTTTATACGGGGTGTAGGTTTAAAAAGGGTATATACATACGAAGGAAAATAAAAACTGCCTCTTCATACAAATTTCGCCTCTACCTTGTGCATTTTGTACTTTACTACTACTTTTACTAGTATTTTTACTGACATAAGGATGTTTCTTCTTTTTTCTATCCCTCTTTTTCCGTTTATTTTTTTGGTAATAAATCTTAATATACATAAATTACGTGTCACGTTGTTTGTCTGCGATGGACTCCTAATCTACTCAACCGATTTTAATCAAATTTGCACACCGTGTGCGGTTTGGTCCAACTTGAGAGATAGGATAGTTTTTTTTTGCCCATGAATGACCCACAATTTTATTTTTGTGAATTTAAGGATTTTTAATAGCACATGACAAAGGTCGTCGAAAAGGGCAGAACAACGTCTGCCTGCAAGCTGTTATATATAAAACTTAAAATATATAAAACATACCAAATATAAAAGTCCAAGTCAATTAATCTAATACTAATATAAACACTAAAAACTAGAACTAATATGACAATTAAATAAAAATAATATATATTTAAGTAAAGCAACTTTCACGATATGCTCCGCTCAGTCCATAAGAACTGCGCGAGGGAAAGAGATCAACCGTGCGAGTGAGAGGTAAAGTAACGTTGAGCAATATTGCACACGTCTGAATGCTAAGAAATCCCAGCGGAACTGAGAGAATTTTCAGGCGTTTCTGGTTTATAAATGGCATATAGGTAAAAAGTACGAAAATATATACTTTTTTAATTTTATTTATTTCTAACTCACTTGAAAATATTCATTAAAACTATTTTTGCGGACTTTATCGCGTTTATTTTACTATTATTTTTAATTCCCGATGTGTATGTGAAACGAACAGTGTGTAGTGTTCGCGTAAATATAAGAAATCACTTGAAAATAGTTCTATTTTATGTGGTTTTAAGTACGACTTTGCTATATTTATACTTCTAAAAGAAAAAAAATAGATATTTGCAGTAAAAAAAAATCATGAAATTACAACTTTTCAAGCCCTTCAAATAAGAAAATGAAAGCATTTATAAAAAAAGTAACCAGATGAATAAATGTGATCTGAATACTTTTCTTGATATTGTTATAGTTTCTCATTGATTTATATAACACTAGATCAGTAATAACCGCGCCAAAGCGTTGCCACTGCACATATGGCCACAGCCATATGCCTAGCTAACGTGAGTTCATTGTTCAATGTGACGCCGACAGAGTTGAGCCGCGACAAAAATGGGTAAATGCGTAGTGAAAGAATGCTATTCAAGGTCACAAAAATGTAATAAATCAAGCGGAATTACTTTCAACACATAATTTTTAGTTCTTGTTTTCATATAAACGTAAAAAACCTCAAATAATTAAATAAAATTATCGAATATTGCCATTTAGGTTCAATGTTGCCACTTTTCCGCATTTGTGATTATACTACATTAATGGTAGACACTATAATTAATGGAGTAAGTTAATTTGTTACCTCTGATTTTAAATATTTTGGAAATTATAATAAGAACTACGTTTTAACTTTCATACAAAATAATTAATTATTCTTATTTTAGTTTATTCATGAATTATCTATTAAATATATTTTATTACCTATTTTATATTAATAAATTAATATTATTTATAATTTCATATAAATTTTATATTAAGTAATTATATTTTATTACCTATTTTATATTGTTTGATTTATTAGTACCATAAAAATACGTTTTATTTCATCATTATGTTTACTTACATTCATCTGATAAGCTTTGTATCCTTTTTTCTAAGGGGACGTAATAAAGATTTTAAAATAAAATATACTTTTTTAATATAAAAACAATTAACTGCAGCTTAAAAAAACTCATTTTTATTGCGTATTTTAGGTAAAATTTCATATAGTAAGCCACACCAACCCGCCATTGCATGTTTGTGTGTCTATCTTTATCTAATCTTAGCGACGATATTGTTTTCGCAACTTGTGTAAGTGAGATGGATATATGTTTACTTAAAATTGTTATTAGTTTCAAAGCTACGTCGTCGCGTTTGGATAGTGGTTACACTTTTTTCGACTCGCGGTAATGTGGTTTGCTCCTCTAGTGTTGTATAACTCAATGTAGTTTCTACATAGCAGAGGCTTTAATAAGACCTTTTACGCATGTAACCTAAACATAGGCATGTTTAACGCCTAATAGAGCTATTAATTTAAACAACAAAATAAAAATAAAAAATAAATATAAAAAAAAATTCGAAAATATCAAATCCTACACTTTAAATAAATATAAAATATGTTTCACTTTTTCTTTTTTGTATTTAAATACTATAAAAATATATTTGTTTTGCTGTAAATTTTGCGAGAACACTAATTTTTACAAGACTGGGGCCTTAATATTTTCTAAATGGTTTAAGGTATTATCCCCTTCAGGCTTTTTTCTTTCAAACAGCCTGTATATAAATATAAATCTTCATACGTCAAAGATATTCGACATTATTCTTACCCTTACTACCACTCGGTTATGTCATATAGTGATCAAATTTGTTCCATCATCTAATTTATGTGTTTGTTTTTAATTAGTTTTCTTTTCACAGTCGTAGTTCGTGCTTTTCCTGAGACACGCGCTGTTAATTTGGACTCCGTACTTTTTCTTGAGCATGGTGCTCGGGCATTGGGGAAGGTGTTTGACGTCTTCGGACCAGTGAGTTAATGCTTAAAAATTGAACTTTATAAGATTATTAATACTATGAAAGTATGAAAAAACCTTCTAAACTTCTAAACCTCCTATTAAAAAAATTCGGTTAAGTTCTGTTGAGAATTCAGCAAAACTTTTTTTTAACATAACAATGATTAATTTAGTGACTTAGGCCGGTAATATCAATAGTTGACACTCGGATACTGTTAAGTTAAAACTATATTAACTTATCGATTACTTCTTAGTATCAATGTAGGTTAATCTTTCATCTGGAATTAAAACTTAAGATAGTTTAACCAATTGAGTAGCAAAAGTGAATATTTAGTGTACAAGTTTACCTTTAACATGTAGTAACAGCGGTTGTAAGAGTGACAATTTATTAAAATGGTCACTCTTACAACTGCTGTTTTTCTTTACTTAAAAAAAAACAACAATTTTTGTATTATTTATCGTAAATTCCAGTCAATTATTTTTGATGATTCTGTTACTAGATATCTAGACCTTACTATAGGTTGGAGTAGGACAATCGGGAACTAACAGGAGAGTCATGATATGAATTGAATGAGTTTTAAGTGCGCGCATATTTTTTTTTTTTTGCTTATAACAGTACTTTTAGAAGTTATCATAATAGGTAAAATAAATACCAATTATTTTATTATATTAATTGAAAATATTACCCTTTTTCTTTTCTTCTACATTATATGAAAATATTTTAAAAGTAGTCAAAATTAGCTGTAAATCAAACATATTTAATTAATTTAACATTTTTTTAAACGACAATTGATATTACGTGCCTAAGATGACAATCTGGGATAGAAAAATAAAATAAAATTAACCATCAAAAACATACTCTATCTTACAAAGAGACCATAGATCCAATCTCGGTATTTTTACTGAAAACGTATCGCGCGCAGCTGCGTTATGATACACACAGATTATCCTGCCTCGCTTAATCTCGCAATCTCGCGAGATTTCGGACAAAAATTGTAGGAGACTCAGTCTCGTAAAATATGGACGAGATCTCGCGGGAACGAGATTGCATTGCTTATTACTAAACCGCAAAAGAAAATAGAAAATTTTACCACAGCATGCACCGCGATCGATTTTGTTTCACTAACTATGCGCTTCGCACTTAACTGTTAAGGACAGATTTTTTTTAATTCCAAGTACATATTGACAATTACTGTTCCATGTTATTTTGAAGAATTACATGCTCATTTTAAGATGTAACATTAATTCAGATTATGTTTTGCATTGATACATAAGTCATACGTGTTGTAATTTTAATACCCTAACCATTTCTGTCGTTTTAATAAAATATCGTAGTGCTGCTAGGTAACACATTGACCTTGCTAACATTTACAAGTCGTGTTAGACGATACTTTCCACTAGACGCATTGACCTTGCTAACTTTATTGATTATGTCATGTTCTTCTAAGATCGCATTTTCCAGCTGACGACGTAAATAATTAACTAATATTTTTATAATCGTTCCAAACCAGTGCTAGACCACCTAGCGATGGAGCCGAATATTGTAAAGCGCTATGACTTAGCTTAACAAAAGTCCAATATGTCTTGTCTTGAATACGCATTGTAATGAGATGTAGAGACATACTGGTAAATTCAACTAATTATGTAAACATTTAGAACAATCAAGAAGAGTGCTTATTTATAAAAATCAATCAATCATACAATTTACCAGTCCAGAAAATGATGTTGCCCATAGATACATTAATATTTAATGAGGCTTAAAATGCATTATGGGTTGTCACCCCTGAGAACTGTGATGGAATGCATAATAATAAGGGTTTCTGGTATATTGGTTCTGATTCTGATATATTGGTTACTTTTTAATTCCCGTGAGAAAAATGTTTTCCAAATGTTATAATGATATACTTGTGATATCAAACTTTAAAAACACAAACAAATACCTACCTATTAATGTAAAATTAAACTATTTTTTTGTAAAACCCTTTTTATCCTTGAGCAAGTTACACAATTGATTTAGTTTTGATTTTTTTTTGAAAATTATGCTTTAATTTTTAATTATGCTTTATGAAAACAATTAGATTTATGATCATAAAAAACAGTAAGAAAATATAGTAATATACGTCAGGCAATACCTAAACAAATTATTATTATCGTTATAATAAATAAAATTTAATTTCAGAATTTCGACCTTTAAATCTCAGAAGCAATGCTCTCAAAAGACGAAAGCGATATTCAATCTTAAGCTATTGTATTTAGTGTATGTTTCCCGTTGAAAGACATGTAAATGTACGAGAAGGTGTCTGGACAGAGCTATTATTTTTAAAAGTCTGGTAAAGGTCTTCTGGGTCTTGGTAACTCAAGTAAAAAGCTGTTTCTATTTAGTTGAATGCCCGCTGTTACCTAACGAGCTAGTCATTTAGTGAATAACTTAGCTGCTATAAGCATAAGCTGCAACATATGCTATATAATCAAATTCAACATTGTCATATTACCGTGAGTTTGCACTGACGCGATTTTCACAAAAAAAACATGTTTTAAACACTGTTTTCTCTCAATGTATCAAAAAGCGTTTGCATAGTCAAAGAACTTGTTGTAGTGAAATATGTTTGACAGTATATGTACATTACATATTTTAAATATATTATATCGTTATAACTACAGAAACAAAATGTTTGAAAACAAATTTGTAGAAATATTGTCATGTTCAAACATAAGTTTGAATATCTGTTGAAAATTTGACACAGTTTTTGTGAGTGCGAACGCCACTATCAACAAAACATGTGTGATTTATTTTATGCGATTTGTTTCAAAACATTACGTGATGGATGTTTCTCAGTGCAAACGTACTATTAGACTTACATCATGCTGTTTTACAACTCTTGTAATTTTTTTTCAAATTGCATGTTACAGGTGACCGAGCCACATTACTGCGTCAGATTCAATTCCCAGGACCACGTGAAGGAGCGTGGGATCGAGCCAGGAATGGAGGTGTTCATAGCTCCATGTAGCGAACACACTAGCTATGTATTTGTCAATGACCTTATGAAGTAAGTAATTTAGTACTAAACACTAACGGTCTTATTTATGATCGTTGATTATCGCTTCTTCTTCTTCTTTACTTTATGGCTTCCCTTAATAGAATTTGCGAATGTCAAGTCAGTCATAGGAGTGACGACAACAAAGTAAATAATTTTTTTTTTGTGATAGGCTTGTAATTTACAACAAAAGAAAACACAAACATTTAAAATCCCGCCACCAACAATAATTAGTATTATGTTACAATTTAATATTATTGGTATAGATAAAATCACATGAGGAGAACACGAGAGACATTAGACAAATAGAATCAGTAGGACGAGGGATGTTATGGGAGAGAATATCATACAAGGAGAACTTGAGTCGCAGTCAATCGAAAACTTCTTGATCTTTTTTTTTTATAGAATAGTGTGACAAACGAGCACACAGTCCACCTGATGGTAAGTGGTTGCTGCGGCTGTAGCAGCCAGATTAATCAAACCGAAACGGGAATAAATAATATATACTCCGCTGCTACCATAACGCGGAAGGCGAGAATAAATAAAAAAAAAACATTTTATTTCCTAATTATTCTTGGCTACTGAGATACTGCGGACTGTATATAGATAATTTGACGTTCTTATAAAGAAACAAGAAGCAGCCGCAAATATCATTCAGCGCCACACCGACTTCACACGCCGCTATCGTCACGTATCCGTCGACCAATGGTGAGCCGTTTCTTCAACGCCGCAGTTCGTTTCCTCTTGCTGTTCCGGAGCTGTATTCCACACCGCCGCCGCCCGCCGACTACGCGTGCGCACCGATCTGCATGTCTTATATAGCCCGGTCCAGCGACGTAGCTTCGTGAACAACAAACAAGTCTCACGCCGGGAAACGAAACGTAGATAATTGTATATTTTAAATAGTTTTCATTGGTCATAAAATAAGCAATATAATTGGCTAGGCAAAATATTAATTGTTACCATTGGCAAATCAATAGTGAGCCAGCCATATAAATATAGGCAAGGTTGATGCAAAATATATTCCATTCCATTCCGAATCCCATTCGACAGTACATTCATAAACATAAACAGTAGTTTCATTTCTCCACCTTAAAGAAAACCACTCGGAGTCTGTTAATAGTGGACAGTTCGTCTCCACTATTACAGTGGTGACCCCGTACGAACACCGAGGGGGAAGATCCGGTACGAACACCAAGAAGGAACACCCTGCGACGTACCACTACTATTGCACGAACACCGCGAAGGAAACCCGTACGAACACCGAGAAGGAAGACTTCAGTTTATATAAAATCAGTGTAATCAAGCCGTCATTATGGAGCAGGAGGCAAACACATATACATCAAACCCGGTAAAAGAACCAGAAATCGCCGGTATATCTCTATCGTTAAGAATACCACCGTTTTGGAGAGACAAACCACGACTTTGGTTCGTCAGTTTTGAAGCCGCAACGAATGGTTTAAAGAAGAGCCAAGCGCAATTAGCACAGATGGTGATAGCCCAACTTGAGAAACAAGACATCGAACAAATTGCGGACCTGTTGTACAACCCACCAGCAGTCGACCAGTATAATTCACTGAAGGATCGTCTGATCTCCGCATACGAAGAATCCGACAGTCGACAGCTACAAAAACTTCTATCAGAAATAGAACTTGGAGACCAGAAACCCACACAACTCCTACGCAAAATGCGTACCTTGGCGCGAGATAAAGTTCCGGATTCAACACTACGGCTAATGTGGGTAAACCACCTACCACCACATATTCGATCGGTAATAGCAGTCAGCGAAACATTCAGCACGCAGACGAAGCTCGACGAACTGGCACTCCTGGCGGACAAGATGATCGAAAACAGCAGTAGCTCACACATATCGATCATCGAAGGCACTTCAACAAAGGCCAATGATACCCAGTTTCTTCTCGAAGAAATTCGGAAGCTATCATTCGAAGTCGCCGCGCTCAAAGCTTCCCAGCATCATACCTTTTACCAGCAACAGTACAACCAGCGCAATCAGCAACACCGAAGATCACCTTTTCGTCGCAACCGCTCTGCAAGTAGAAGTCGAATAAGCTCAACATCAAGATCCCCTTACTGCTACTATCATCGACGTTTCGGGGTCGAGGCAAGAAAATGCACAGCACCGTGTACATTCAAAAATGAAAATACGAATACGGAAAACTAACTAGTACGCTCGATGCGACGGGATCCAGCGTAACAGCAAAGTCCTACCGTCTTTTCGTCACCGATAAAAAAAGCAAGCTCACTTTCCTTATCGACACCGGAGCAAATATCTCAGTGTTACCGCCGAAGCAAGGACAGAAGTTGAAGCCACTAGATTTTCAACTCTATGCAGCAAACAATACGGTTATTCCTACATATGGAGAAAAAACAATGGAACTTGATTTTAATCTACGCCGACCATTCAAATGGAGATTTATCGTCGCTAAAGTCAGCAAACCAATCATCGGTGCTGATTTTCTTCAACATCACCAGTTGGTCGTCGACATCAAAAATAGAAGAATCATCGACGGGAAAACCAATCTTGCATCTCAGTCTTTTGTACAAGCAACCAATCTGCCCACAATAAGAAGCATAGATGTGCAACAACCGTATCACAAGATCCTCGAAGAATACCCTGGTATCACAAGAATAACTTCAATGAAATTAACACCGAAGAACGACGTTGAGCATTTCATCGACACCAATGGACCACCACTTCATTGTCGTGCACGTCCAATCGCACCACACCTATACGAGCAAGTTCGAAAGGAATTCGAAAACATGATTGAGCAAGGAATATGCCGTCCAAGCAAAAGCCCTTGGTCATCACCACTTCACATTGTACCGAAGAAGAACGGAGAATTACGAGTTTGTGGAGATTACAGAAGACTGAATTCTATTACCACTCCTGACCGCTACCCAATACCGCGAGTCAGGGATTTCACTCATCAACTATCAGACAAGACTATATTCTCCACCATCGATCTCAACCGAGCTTACCAACAAATAAGAGTCCGCGATGAAGACATAGAGAAGACAGCAATAATTACCCCAATGGGATTATTCGAATTCCCAAGAATGATCCCAGGATTAAAGAACGGAGGTCAAACTTTCCAAAGATTCATACACGAAGTACTTCATGGACTGGATTTCGTTTTCGCATTTATTGATGATCTCCTTGTTGCAAGCCCTGATAAAGAAACGCACGAAACCCATCTACGCACCGTGCTACAGCGATTAGAAGACAACGGAATCACAATCAACCCTTCGAAATGCATATTTGGACAGCAAGAAGTTCAATTTCTTGGTTTCACCGTCAGCAAGGAAGGAATAAAACCGCCTGCCGAAAAAGTCAGAGCAATCATCGATTATGCAAAACCTAAAACTATCGAAGAGCTAAGGCGTTTTCTTGGGATGATAAATTTTTACAGAGAACACATACCTAAAGCCGCTGAAATCCAAGCACCACTTCACGCCTACCTTCACAACACGAAGAAAAAAGATAAAACGTCAATCGAATGGAACGATGAAGCCACGAAGGCATTTGAAGCTTGTAAAATTGCGATCCAAAATGCAGCTTTACTCGCTCACCCATCACACGAAGCAACCCTTGCTATCTTCAGCGACGCATCCGATCTCTCAGCAGGAGCAGTTCTCCAACAATACAGCAATGGGAAATGGCAACCACTTGGATATTTTTCGAAGAAGTTCTCCGATACTCAACGTAACTACAGTACATTCGACCGAGAGCTACTCGCTATTTACATGGCTATCAAACACTTCAGAAAAACGTTCGAGGGTCGAAACCTGATCGTTTTTACCGACCACAAGCCATTAACATATGTACTTCCAAAGAAACCATCACTATCGGAAACACCACGAAGAGCAAGACAACTTATTTTCATAAGTGAATTCACGACCGACATACGTCACATCAGTGGAAAGGACAACATAGTTGCCGACGCACTCAGTCGCGTACCAATCGACAGTGTAACGTGCCCTACATCAATCGACTATCATAAGATCGCCGCAGCACAAGACAGAGATAGTGACAACATAAAACATCTAGCGAAGCAAGGTAACTTGTCCATCAAGCAAGTTACAATGCCAATGACGCATCTACCTATATACTGTGAAGCCTCAACGACAACCATGCGACCATACATACCAGAAGAATGTCGTCGCGAAGTCTTCAATACACTGCACAACATTAGTCATCCAGGTGTTAGAACAACAAGAAAACTCATCACTGAAAAATTCTTTTGGCCTGCAATGCAAGCGGATGTTGGCAACTGGGCGAAGCAATGCATTCAATGCCAAAAATGCAAAGTACAAAGGCATACATCAAGTAGTGTAGCTACATTTCCACCCACGGAGAGATTCGAACACTTGCACGTTGACATCGTTGGACCATTACCTACTTCACCGCAAGGACATCGTTATCTCGTAACAATGATCGACAGAACAACAAGATGGCCAGAAGCAATACCTACCGATGATACTTCAGCCGAATCCGTCGCGAAGATAATTTATGAAAATTGGATTACTCGTTTCAGATCACCTAAAACCATCACAACGGATCAAGGAAGGAATTTCGAAAGCAACCTATTCCTCAAACTTCTTCAAACTATGGGAATACAGAAGACGCGTACAACAGTCAAACGGAATAATCGAACGATGGCATCGTACATTAAAGACTGCACTCAAAACTCGTTTATCTCAACATACAAAGTGGATTGATGAGCTACCTACAGTGCTACTCGGACTACGAGCAACACCGCGTGCATACACTAGTCTTAGCGCCGCTCAGCTAACCTACGGCTGCAGCATAAGGCTGCCGTGTGACTTCTTCAGTTCAGCAGCGTCAAACAAACAAGAAATGGATTACGATTTCGTAACTAAACTTCGAGAATCAATTAACAAAGCCTTATCGTTGAAATGCACCGAAATGCAATCACACAGAAATAATAAATCAGTATTCATTCACCAAGATTTGAAAACATGCAAACAAGTTTTTGTAAGAAACGACGCAATGAAAAAACAATTTTAACCTACCTACGATGGACCGTATAAAGTATTAGAGAGAAATAGCAAGACTTTTAAACTACAAATACCCGGAAGGAAATCTACGATTATATCAATCGACCGACTAAAGCCAGCCTATATTATTAACGAGGATACTGCAGAGGATTCATCATCATCATCAAAACCACCAGCGAGGAAGCTTGAAACTTCATCATCTACATCAACCCAGTTGAAACCTATTTTAAAAACTACGAAATACGGGCGAGTCGTCAAGCCTCCGGTACGCTTTCGCTGGGGGGAGAGTGATGTAGCAGCCAGATTAATCAAACCGAAACGGGAATAAATAATATATACTCCGCTGCTACCATAACGCGGAAGGCGAGAATAAATAAAAAAAAACATTTTATTTCCTAATTATTCTTGGCTACTGAGATACTGCGGACTGTATATAGATAATTTGACGTTCTTATAAAGAAACAAGAAGCAGCCGCAAATATCATTCAGCGCCACACCGACTTCACACGCCGCTATCGTCACGTATCCGTCGACCAATGGTGAGCCGTTTCTTCAACGCCGCAGTTCGTTTCCTCTTGCTGTTCCGGAGCTGTATTCCACACCGCCGCCGCCCGCCGACTACGCGTGCGCACCGATCTGCATGTCTTATATAGCCCGGTCCAGCGACGTAGCTTCGTGAACAACAAACAAGTCTCACGCCGGGAAACGAAACGTAGATAATTGTATATTTTAAATAGTTTTCATTGGTCATAAAATAAGCAATATAATTGGCTAGGCAAAATATTAATTGTTACCATTGGCAAATCAATAGTGAGCCAGCCATATAAATATAGGCAAGGTTGATGCAAAATATATTCCATTCCATTCCGAATCCCATTCGACAGTACATTCATAAACATAAACAGTAGTTTCATTTCTCCACCTTAAAGAAAACCACTCGGAGTCTGTTAATAGTGGACAGTTCGTCTCCACTATTACACGGCCCATAGACATCTACATCTATCCTCCATTAAAAATCAAAATGCAGATGCGTTGTCACCCGTGAGGACTGAGATGGAATGCCTCGTTTCCAGTAAAAAGGGGTCTCCGGTTCTCTACACTCACCATACGAAATACAGCAGCATTAAGCTACTATTTCACGCTGGTATTCTGTGAGAGCGTGGTCCTTCCCCGGTCGAGCCGACCCATTCGTGCTACAACTATACTACTAATATAACTGCAGCATGGCTCTACCACGTATAAAAAAAATTTATAAAGTTTATGAAGTTTTCCGTGGACATATTCATAGAATACCGTCGTTCGCGTTTTTTTACATTAGAAGAGCACTCCGCGTCCCACCAAGGAGCTAAAGAGATTTTGTTATTAGAGTTATATGTGTGTCCCATTTCAATGTACTGTCCATGTACACAGTGGCGGCCCTAGCAAAATTTTTAGGTGGTGCGAGATCTCATAGTGGCGCCCCTTTAAATACAAAACCTTTGTGTTCCTATACTATGCAGTTGCATTTTCGTGATTTTAAATAGTGTTTGACCTATCAAATATCTACAGGTGTATATATGCGGGGCAAACACAGTTGCGTCTATCGCTCTTGACAGCAGTTGTTCTGCTTATTCGCGTTAAAGAAATGTTGTCCATCCCGCTCGCACTACTCTATTGCGCTCGACAACGCCACTATGCTTGCCTTGCTGCGGTGACTAGTTGTACAGATTATTCCTCAAAATAAGAATTAATACTCTAGTTTGACAACTTTTATTTAAACTGTTGTTCTGCAGACAGTGTTAAGATAAAAGAACTACCAACAACAAACTTAATGAAAAGCCTAGATGGCCAGCTTTCTGGCTTATGCGCTGGCGGTTTTTTTTATTAATTCAGAATAATTTAACTTCTGGGCAATAGAATTTTCTATAGAAAAGATTCCAAGATATGATCTCTTTCCTGACACAGTGAAAACGTAGTTGAATTGTTAAATGTTTTACTAAAACTTTATTATTACTTTGTTGTACTAAAACTTCGTTTCCGTTTAGCGACAGTTATAGTACAGGTACAGCCTTTTCGACCTTTTAGGAATTATTTTCATTATCTATAAAAATCATAGAATTTTGATAGTTTAAGTCAAGTAACCAATGCAATTTTAATCGCGTCAATCACTGGGTAAAAAACGTTCATTTTAAACAATTATTTAAGATCAGTTTGTGTCTCAACTACGGCTTCGTACACAAATAATATTTTCTTTCTTCGGAATCGGGCTGGCTTAAAAATTGGATCTATCTGTTATTAGAGCAGATAAAAAGGCTCGGTACTGTTTCAAAATTCTGACAAAATTTTCAAACAAAACACGACACCTTTGGTAAAGCCATAGATTGAGACTGCATAGCTGTTTTTTGTGCAAGCAGCTATGCGGGTCTAGAAAGTATATAAGTAATCACGGCGACTTAAAAGATCTATTGTGATCGCTGCTATGTTTATAGTTCACTGCTAAGGCCTATGTCTTCAATGAATAGGAGTTGCTTAGCTGTGAGCAATTTCACTTCTTCTGGGCGAAGTAGATAGTTTCCAAAATGTGTTACGTTCGCGCATTAATGGTCCACAATCAGTCAGAATATGCAGAGGAGTTTCTTCTGTTAAGGAACAAAACCGGCACATCTTTTCGTTCTTGCCAGAATGCGCAGTTTATTTTTACCTTATTCTAATTACCTAACGTTCCAAATTGTGTGCTCCTTATGCCCGCCCGTGCAAGCTTATCGGCAAGTTCATTGCTTACAATACCTGCGTGGCATGGAACCCATCTTAAAACGACCCTGTTGTTACATCCCAAGGCGTTTAGACGGTTCACACGGTCTCCAACTAGTTTCGAGTTCTCTAAGTTTGATCTCAGCGCTAGCAGCTCTGCTTGAGAGTTTATATAGATTACATGATTGACGTAGTGTTTTTGCAGATTGATTTTCGCACACTGAAGTATGACGAAAATTTCTGCCTGGAAGATAGAGGTGAAACTACCCTAATTCATACTAAGTTTGAATTTGCGGCGTTCCCCATAAATTCCAAAGTCTACGTTGAGGCCCATTTTTGACACGTCGGTGTACCATATAAGGCTACCGACCTCATAAATATATAGACCTGTCCATTCAGCCAGTCTTCTTTGGAGGGTAGTTTCACTATATACTTTTATTAAAAGTGTATAGTGGACGCATCATATCTGATCAAGCATAAGATCCGTGTTTCCTTAATTGAGTCGAGCATGGATCTCAATTTTTAGGAAATCAAGCGCAGACCGCCCTAGGCGTTAATCCTACACAAACTAGACCTCACCTCCTGGTCTAAATAAAGACCAAGGGGTACAGTAGTGCATTAAGAGCTGCTCCAGGCGATGATCACATCGCTCCAGTTGCCATTGAGCAGGCAGTCCTTTGTAAACTATTTAGTCTGTCCGCCGTCGTTTCTTTATTTTGCCTTATTACACCTGACAATGGATCCTAGATCCTAGAGATAGATCCAATTCCTTTGTACGATTCTAAAACATTATTGAAAGATCGGATTGACGATGATAAATGCCTAAAAAAAGAAATGCGCATGCGTCTCGCTCGCGCTTACAACTTTCATTCGCTAGCGATCGTAGCCTACGCCGCGCCATTTAAAATAATATCACCTATTTTTAGTTTCACGCAAAAGCCATAGGATGAATTGTTTTTATGTATTTTTTTTTGGATATTCAGTTATTTTACCTATTAGTTATATTTTACAAATACTTTCGGGGATAGCTTATATTCCACTTACACAAAATAAAACACATAATTTTCTAGACGGTGAAAAAATCACCCAGTATGCTAAAACTTATTAAATAGACACGTATCTAATGAAATATGATGTACCTATTAAACCGAAATAGAATTGTGTTATTTTGAAAAACTGTAACGGTAGCAGAACTTAAAGTATTAAATTGATAGTGTTTTACAAAATTGAATCTTATTACAGGGTAAAGGGCTCAGATGCATCGTGGGTACACGACGTCGAACCTCCACCTAGCCAAATCGATTTCTCAGACGACGAGGAAGAGAGACGCGCTAAAAAAGCGAATAAAGAACAAAATAAAGAAGTAACGGAGAATGGAGAAACATCCAAGGCTCAAACATTTCGGAAAGACAATAAAAGAAACCAGAGACCCACGGAATCCAGTAGTCGCTTCGGCAGTGGACCAAGCAGGGGTCGCAATCCTTCCACACCAGGCTCGAGGAGAAATAGTCCGTGGAAGATGTGGTCAGAACAGTCCGACACGAGACCACCACACCCCAACAGGGATGCACCCCCGCATGGAGCCCACCCACCTTTTACGCCACCTCCGTTTAACCGACCCTTAATGAGCTTTTCGCCATTCAATCCCACCAGGCCACCTCCGTTTATGGGTAATTCATACCAATTTGGTGCGAATCCTAGAATGCGTGGCCCCACACCTCCCATGCACTTTCCACAATTTGGACGGAATAACCCTATATTTGGATCGAGTTTCAACAACATGCCCGGGTCACAACCACAGTGGATCAGTAGACTTCCACCCCCACCGGGAACCTAATCAAAAATATATTAGGTATGCATATATTTTTATTTACGGCATAGAAATGTATTTATATGCATGAAAAAACATATAGGTACCTCTGTATAATATTTTTCCTGTCTTATAAGTTGATGTGTCTAACTCTGCTACGATGTGCTAATCCAAAAATAAAATCTATATTTATATAAAATAAATGATAGTGATTAAAGTGTTTCTGATTCATTATTTTTACCTTAGACTACAATATGTAAATAAACTATTTATTATTACTATATTAATAGTAAAATAGATGGAAGAACTAATAAGAAACGAATACATAAACGTGCAAAAGCGTACTTCCAGTTTCGTGTACCACCTAAGACGAGCACTATTCTAGCACATGGCTATCTCGGAACTAAGCAGCTTAAGGACATGCGGATTTGGTTCCTTGACGAAAAAACTTCTCTGCACGTCCTTATTGCGGACCCTTAATGTGCAAACGTAACACTCACCTGGGGAACTACGTATTTAGCCCAGAAATGAAAATGTTCACTGCTAATTAAATTCATTTAAGATGTAGGACTTAGCAGTGAACTATAGCCATAGCAGCGATCACAATCATACTGGTCGCAGTGATACAGGTCTTGCTAGTACTGTGATTTTGGCTTCGGTGTGTTTCTCTTGTGGCGTGACGACAGCACTGCCACATAGTTTTAGAGGCGTGGGAACTTTACCGGAGGTTTTCTATTCTTTCCGAGGCATGGGGTGAAACGCCGCCGATTTCCTAATTCCGGGCTTCTAAGATTTTTTTGACAGGAAAATACAATAACTGATATTGACCCGACCGGGGTTCGAACCCGGGGAATCATGATCAGCAGTCGCACTTACGATCACCACACAAACAAAATATAAGGTGATTAATTGATTGAGTGGGATGTGGATCAATGTATAATAATTATATATTAATATTGTGTTTACTAAAAATTTATTATTATTACTATTAAAATGATGATGGAGTAGATCAGTAGTACAGGTACACAGAAACCTTTGATGATGTAACGAAAATAAAATCGATCCCGGTTAGAAAGAAAATACATTTTTTACAACGTTTAATAAGCTTTATACACGCTCCATCGTGTTAGTACAGCTAAATGAAACGATAATTTCATAAAAAAATCATGAAAATAATTAAACATAAAACCAGCAGTGGAACTTCAAATACCTAACATCAGCTCATATGGGTCAAAAGGAAGGTAGCACTCATGGTGATCAAATATTTCGAAACATCCAAAGTAATCATAAATATTCAAACATCCAGAGTAATCAAATTATAGAGATCACCAATCTTGCTTAAAAATATAGCGCCACATAGATACATAACATCATATACATATTGTTACGAGCTTAGGGTTCGTGACAATAAAAATTGCCGATAAAATTACCTAAATTAACACTTTAATTTACTTTACACAAATTAAAACTAAAAACACTAATAATTAAACACACTAATTCACTTAATTCCGCTCCGAAGCTTCGCTTGTGTCGCCGAGTTCAACTCTGCTCTGATCGCATCTTGCAGCGCCTATATATTTAAATTAGCAAAGAAATATCCAGAATGTTCAAGTAAACACGCGCAAGGTACCGAGCGTTCGAGTTTCGACTAGGCGCTGTCGGTTGAGTGATTTGTGATGTCATTTTCTCAATGCTCCCCTCGCTCTCGTTCCTGACACTAGATGGCGCTAGTGTATCATCGACTTGAGCGCGTAACACTGCCCCCTCCTAAGACATGCTCGTCCCGAGCATTATCGGCCCCATAATAACGCGCCAAGCGATTCACATGGACGATCTTAGGAGTCCCTCTTGCGCCTTTCTGTAACGGCTCCGCAATGTCAAGTGCTGTTCTATCCCGTGGTGCACCAACATTGTACAATTTCGGTGCTCCTCTACTACGTGTCTGAAGTTCCCGCACGGCCGCACAACTTGTACATGTACGACACCAATCCTCGACATCGTCACGATAATGGACCCAGTAAAACTGTTCTCGGACCTTCAGTAGAGTTCGTTTAACTCCCAGATGGACTCTTGAACGACCATTATGGCACAGCTGTAGAACATTCGGCACTTTAGCTTTAGGGACAACCATTTGCAAACGACAGCTGTCCCTTCGACCATTGTCCCATTTACGGCACAGGACTCCATCCTGAATCAGCAAGCTGTCCCATTGGGCCCAATAGCTTTTCGTGGTTGAACTCATCGCTGAGACGTCCCTCCACATAGGCTTGGTAGCACGGGCGTTCATCCATCCCAGAATCGGCTTGATGTCCGGATCTTCCTGCTGTGCATGTTGTAAGCTGTCCTTCCACTCGTTGCTGAGGTGGTCTGCCCTGAGCATCCTCACGGATACCACTTCCTTACTCTCTTGCCTAGTACAATGTTTGCAATCTTCAGGACAAGGTCTTCTTGACAATGCATCTGCGTTGCCATGAGATTTCCCGTTGCGATGTTGGATCTCAAAGTCGTATTCCTGCAGTAGTTCAATCCACCTCGCAACTTGTCCTTCTGGATTTTTAAACTGTAATAGCCATTTTAGTGCAGCATGGTCAGTTCGTAAGTGAAATTTTCGCCCCAGAAGATATTTGCTAAAATGCTGCAACGACTTTACCACAGCTAGCAATTCGCGTCTTGTGACACAGTAGTTCCTTTTCGGTTTTGACAACGACTTGCTGAAGTACGCTATCACGACCTCTTGGTCACCATTCCGTTGAGACAACACACCGCCAAGTCCTATATCACTTGCGTCTGTGTCAACTATAAATTCTTTGCTTGCATCAGGGTATCCCAAAATAGGTGTTTTGCACAGACGGTCCTTGAGCTCCTGGAATGCGATATTGCAACTTTCATCCCAGCAGAAATGTCGCTTCTCCTCGGTTAGCTTGTGCAGAGGTTTGGCTATATCCGCAAAGTTCTTCACAAATCGCCGGTAATAGGAGCACAAACCCAAAAATGCTCTAACCTGCGTCTTGTCTTTTGGAACCGGCCAATCCTTGACAGCGGCGATTTTCTCTGGATCTGTGCGGATACCTTCTTCCGATACTACAAACCCCAAAAAGTTAACTTGCCGTTGGAATAGTGAATATTTCTTCGGGCTCAACTTGAGGTTGGCACTCTGAATCTTCATGAGCACGCGTTCCAGGTTTTGAAGGTGTTCCTCAAACGTACGGCCTACGATGATGATGTCATCCAAGTAGACCAGACAGGCATCGCCAATTAGCCCGGTAAGTACAAGTTCCATCAGCCTTTCAAACGTTGCTGGAGCATTGCACAACCCAAACGGCATTACTTTAAATTGCCACAGACCCTTTCCCGTCGAGAACGCAGTTTTCTCCTTGTCCTTAGGGTCAATTTCAACTTGCCAGTAGCCACTTTTTAGATCCAGCGTGCTAAACCACTTTACTCCTGTAAGCATGTCCAGCGTGTCATCAATTCTTGGCAAGGGATAGCTGTCCTTCTTCGTAACGTCGTTCAGACGGCGGTAGTCAACACAAAACCGCATGCTGCCATCCTTCTTCTTCACCAGCACCACTGGTGAACACCATGGACTAGAGGAAGGTTCAATGACACCATCCTTCACCATTCCTTCAATCATGGTTTCCACTTCCTTTTCGCGTGCTACCGGCAATCTTCTTGGCCGCTGACGGATAGGCAATTCTTCTCCTGTGTTTATTTTGTGTTGAACTAAGCCAGTCTTTCCTATGTCAGCATCGTTTGATGAGAATACATCGGCGTACTTGAGTAACAACTTCTTCGCCTTGACCAATTCGTTCGCGGAGAGAACACTGCGACAGTCTTCCAAAAGTGTGGTCACTCTCGTTTCTGCATCCTTGCTGGGGGTCCCACTCGATATATATTGGCACCGACGTAACCAATCCACTTCCTCACAAGTACCAATCAGTGTGCCTTTTTCTATAATCTGTTCCCGGTCGCAAAGGTTCAGCACACGTACACCTGAGATGTTAGTGGACCTGACCAAGGTTCGAGCTACTTTCCATGTAAGGTCATTGTTTACCCTTTCCACAAGTACACAACGGTGAGCTTGCCCAGCGTTTCGAGGAAGACTAACCGGCACAATCGTTTCCGATCTCGGCGGAAGAACAATCTTCTTAAAGCTGTACACGTTCCCTGGTAACGCACCTTCCATAAAAAGTTCCTCTTGTCCACATTTCAAAACACCTTGCTTAACGTCGATCTCACAACAATTATTCCTCATAAAGTCTAGGCCTAGGATGCAGTCGTCCATTATATCAGCCACGATGACATTATGCAGGTAGATCGCGTTGCCTAGCTTCATCCATCTCATGCTCCATCTCCTTATCTCCACGGACGGGTATACGCTGACCGGTGGCTGTTACCAAATTAATGCGTTCTCGGTTGTATGCGGAGTCCCCAAGGAACTGACTTATAAGTTGGGAACTAACAACCGTACGAGAGGCTCCAGTGTCTATGGTCAGTTTACACGGCATTCCGTTGACCTCGCCCTTGATGATTAGACTGTTCCCATCATGGGTTTGTGAGATCGAGATTCTTGGGGCTCTTTTAACATCAGCCAGCACCCGCCCCGCAGTTCTGGCTTTTACTCGTTTCCCTGCTGCTGCTGGGCGGTGCTGTTGGCCGCACTACACTCCTGAGATCGTTCACCTTCCCTTTCTAGGGTTCGCTTAGGGCAGCTGGATCAAAGATGGCCCTTTTCCCCACAGCCATAGCACCTTGGGCTGTATCCTTTGTTGCGGTAGCGAACTGTGGCTGCTGCAACCTCCCTGACGCGATGGGAACGATGATCCTGCCGCACGGCTTCCACTTCCAGTGCATGGGCCAAAGCGTCCTTAAGCGTCTCGTGGTGCCCGAGCCTCACAGCAGCTCTGACTTCCAGGTCGCGGATGCCGTCGATGAATGTCTGCACCAGGTTCCCTTCAATGAGCGCAGGTACAGACCGGTATGCTTTTCGCACCAGCTTCTCCACCTCTAGAGCCCACTGCTGCAGG